TGGATCCTCCCTTCCTTCCTTCCCATGCATCCAGGTCAACTTAGCTCTTTGACGGACTAAACATCTTTGACAGACCAAACATCTTCCATATCAGGGATATATCAATTCTTTGACAGACCAAACATCTTCCATATAAGGGATAAATGTCTTATAACTTTTCAATAAGATTTTAAGAACTAAATTAAATTAAACAAAGAGATGCATTGTATGGTAACATACACACTTTTTTAGGTAATCAACAAATAAAAGTAGAGCATCTACTTAAAGATCAGACAACCAACATCAAAATGCWTACCATAATAGATTTCAAGATGATTAATCAACGAGCATACTCTATTATATGACATGACACTTAACTGTCTCCTTCCTCCAAAAAATGCAGCAAAGATGTGGTGTTACTGTAGGCTGGTATACATGCCTATGTCGTACCTATACGGGAGAAGATTTGTGGGTCCAATCTCTCCTCTTGTTTTACAGCTTCGGGATGAACTTTATGCACAGCCCTACGATAAAATCAACTGGAAATGTAYAAGACATTTGTGTGCAAAGGTCAACTATTTGCTTTACTTCATTGATTTGTACATTCTTAATCACTTCCCTAATTATTTGTCTAATTAAGCCAATTTATTGTCTCAGGAGGACCTATACTACCCCCATTCTTCACTACAAGATTTAATGTGGGATAGCCTCTATATATTCACCGAGCCTCTCCTAACTCACTGGCCATTTAACAAATTACGTGAGAAAGCACTCAAAACAACAATGAAGCATATCCATTATGAAGATGAGAATAGCCGATATATCACCATTGGTGCAGTGGAGAAGGTATAGAAAAGGAAATTCACACAAACATTCTCTAAAAGATTAACAAGTACCAAGTAGGAATGCGAAATGAATTCACCTTTGTTAGGATAATTAATTATGCCTCTTACAAGCAAACTCTGCAGGCACTGTGCATGCTTTCATGTTGGGTTGAGGATCCAAATGGGGTCTGCTTTAAAAARCACCTTGCCCGAATCCCTGATTATATCTGGGTTGCTGAAGATGGAATGAAAATGCAGGTGATACAAGAAAACCCCAGTCCAGAAAACACACATATTTTCATTATACACTCTAAAAAGTACTTAAAAAATATTTTAGGTTTACTGAAAACTTCATGGGTGTTGTTACAAAACCAGAGTTTTGGCAGTCAGGGGTGGGATGCAACTTT